TAGGTCCTGCACGACCCGTGATCTCTGGTTATTTACAAATCGTTTAAAGTAATTCGTTTTTAATATTTTAAAAATTTTCGTCTTCTTCTCTTTTCGTTTTTCCTCTTTCATTCCTTTTACCAATGGGAAAGTAAGACTTTTCTATTTTTCTTTCTTTCTCTTCCGAGGACTAGATGCTGGTTCATGCAAATAAGCTGTTGAGGTTCCCTCATCTTCAATAGAATGTTTACGAGGCTTTCTTCGCACAGTAATGACGTCTTTAAAGAGATCCGGTCTTTCGTTTGGCCAATCTTCCATCTCATACACAGACAAAACCCATATGTTGTGAAGATCTTCCAGAGAGTGGCCTTTCTTACAATCCCTTTCTCTGCATTTCCCTCGCGTAAACCTGTAACAGATATGCAAATATGGACAATCGTCGGGATCATCAGATTCGCAGTCGGCTGCTGGGCACACTAGTAGCATCTCTCAAGAAAGGTAAGATGTATATAATCTGTCCGTTTTTCTTATAAAAATTCAATAGCTTCTTTTCTCTCGATAGCCAATTATCGAAATCATCAAAAAGAGGAGAGAACTTTTCCTTCAACTTTTTTGAACTAATGCACCCACCACATTCTTTAACGAGGAAATTGAACACAGCTTTTTCCCTCTCATCTTGAATATTCAAAAGTGTTGTGAATTTTTCTCCACTATTTTGAAGACTTCTCTTTTTCTCCGTAACCGAAACTTCCCTTACAGCACTTTTCATTTCAGGATCGAGGTAAGGTCTTTCCAACCCAATTTAAAGAATAACTATTGTCACATTCCACTCAGTTAATTTGATTCTGATATTCCATATCAAATTATATTTCCCACCTGAGTGCAGACAATACACAGGTATATTAGGTCATTTAGACAATGGTATATTAAATGATAATCTTCAAATCGAGGGATTTAACTGTATTATTCGCAATGACAGGAATTCATTTGGGGGCGGTGTGATGATTTATCTATCAAATGCTATTTCTGCCCGTCGTCGGGTAGATTTAGAACCTACAAATATTGAATGTATATATGGATTGAAATAGAAAACCCTAACTCTAACTATCTTCTGTGCTGTATATACCGCCCACCACACATTGATAATGTTTTCTAGAGAAATTTTTCCTGGTCCATAGATAAAGCAGTCGAATTATCCAATCGAATAATAATTGTTGGTGACATAAACACAGATTTTTTAAACATCCCTCCTTCACACCATATACACGACATCATAACAACAATAACCTCACAAATAGAATCCATGAACCAACGAAAGTCACGAATACCACGCGAACATTTATTGACCCCATTTTAACAACACAAAACATTGAAGCAAACGATTCAGGTGTTCTATATATAGACTCTTTTATAAGTGGTCACAAAGCAACCTATATATCAATTTCACAAAACTACAATCTTAATCGTGCATATAAACGTAAAATATGACTGTATAAAAATGCAGACATTGAAAGATTAAATAATTTAATTTAATCTTGTGATTGGGATGAGCTTATCTGTAATGCAGAAAACATAAACTCCGAAAAATCACATATCTCAAAATCTTTGTGGGCGATGCCTGTGGACAGTATTATCTGAGAGAAAATTTCATTGAAAATTGGTGTCTTCTGCAAGTTTTTAAGAAAATACGGGAAAATGCACAAGTTTATGACGTCACAATTAGCATTAAGAAGGTCATATGAGAAAAATAATTTGTATGATCTTTCTGTATGGAATTTCAATGTTTCAGAAAGCACTGAATTATAATTTCTGAAAGATGAAGTCATAACGAGCTAACGCATGTTACTCAATTTGTTTGCACACACCGCTGCAGTTATGAAACTACATCTTCAAAAAATTATGATTCAATGCTTAAGGTCAAGATCTAGTAAATGGGTTTAGTTTTGTCTTTTTGGTGCTAGATCTATTATGACGTCATAATTAATTTAACTTTTCCCCGCATGTTACGGCTATAACAGAATTATATAGAAAAATGACACATCTTTAGTGGAATTCAATTTGAAATCATGTGAAAATTATGTCCCGATACACCTCAATTTATTATGCTACAACTGTAATAGATTATTAAGGGAATTTGTTTCTCAAGTTTGCGAAATCTTTAGGCACTCATCCTTTACTTGATTTTGACCTAAAATGTTGCATCTGGCTCCCCTTAAAAGTGAGAGAGTTTTGATAAAACCTAGGATTAAATTATGCCTTTTCTCAGTATATGGTTTTAAGAGACTTGCTCTGCTTTATACAATGTATGTGCTAACTGGGACATTTATTCCAGTATATTAACGTTTTTGTGTGTACATTTCGTCCAAATTCAGTTAAGAAAGCTCCAAACACTGCACACTAAAGAGTTCTACTTGTAGGGTAGTTTTATTGAGTAAGAGTGATCTGCCCTTATAAGAAAAATAGAATAAATTGGAGTCTACTGTTAATGACAAAAATTTGTTATGAATTAAAGTTTTCTTAATGATAAGTTAGACAAAGACTAAATAATTAAATACATTATTTCCATTCATTTTCCCGATGCAAGTAGACAACAGTGATTTCTGTTCACAAATAGCTCATTGTCTTTGAACATTTTTTTCTGCAGAAATAAGGCAGGTACCCTATGTTGAAAATGAACTAGATTACGCTGAATATGTGCACCTGTAAATTATATTTTTTCTCAACGTTCAAAAGGCATTTTTCATTAGTGTTTAGAGCTTCCTTAAGTAGTACCAATGACCATGAAGAAAAACGTACATTATGTTTCATACCTAATTCTAGTAATTAAGAAACCCATTTTCGGTAGTTTACTGTATATCACTTTTTGAGGAAAAATATTTAAATGAAAGATGTTATTAAATATATATCGCTAACAAACAAATTCGGCTCTGGATAGAATATGATACAAAATAAATGTAACAAAAATCATTGTAATGAAAAAAGTGAAGATAGTGAATAGTAACCGATCTACAAAAACCTACAAACAATACATAGTCGTGAACAGGGCATAAAACACTGACCCTTTAATCAGGTAGACCGAATATTCTGAACCTAAAATTTAGTATAAAAACAAAAGCCCATCAATATGTATGTAATATGTCAGTCAAAAAAAAAAAAGACAGAATGATAGCTTATATTTGCTAGCAAGGACATTTTAACGATCGTAGAATTTACGACGTTGAAACCCTTTAACATTGTAACTTATCTTTGAAAACCTGCCTCGTCTTAAAAATTGATCGTGCCAAGAGCATGCTAAACACCATATGCAAGTGATAGAGGAATAAAACGTAATTCACAACACAGATGAAAAGTTTACCTTTAAATAAAATCACTTCGTTTTGAAATTGATAAATCAAATTACTTTTTATTTATACCTTTTTAATTTTTTTTTTAACTATCATTGATAATTTCGAATGAGTGAATTGCATTCCATATAGCTGCTATATTAAACTATTAAAAGTAGACAGATATAATAACGTAGGACACTAAAAATGAATTTTGAATTTTAAAGACTATGCTGGAATTTTTTTTTCCATTTTGAAGACAAAAATATTTTTTCTTTATAAAACAATATATACTGAAACGCAAAAGAAACGCAACATCCTAATTTAGGGGGAAATATTATATATAGGATATAATTTTGTATCTAAAATGTAAGGACATCTTCAACTTTGTAAATATCGGTAATTTAACGGTTGAATGATTTTCATACCATAACCGGAAGTTAAGTTTGAGTCCGCTTAACAGAAATCAAATATTGCATGTTTAACAAAATATTTGGCAATAATACGGGGTTTTAAGAATTTGTATCTGTTCATCATAAGTAATGAAGCAATGTTACGAAAAATAAATTCTCCTTTCTTTTCCGTAAGCGATGCCAAGGCTTCCTAAAAATGACTTAAGTACGCATTTCCATTGCTCTAGCTGGAAAATCTCAAAATAAAGGTGACGGAAAGTTGCAGATGCAAATATGCAACACATGCACGCCTCAACAGGCTCTTACGTATCATTAGCATGAATGACGGCCCTTGGACGGGAAGTCCAAGGGTTACTACACTGTGCTTGGCTAGAGAAAATTCGACCTCATCATCTGAAAAACAGGCATTTAAAATGGCAAAGAATATTTCTTTCGCTCAGATCTCGAGATTGATAAACCTACTGCATCATAAAAAATCAAGCTGCAACTGTTGTACATGGCAGTCTTGCACGCTGTAATTGAATGACCGGGGTGGGGTGGGGGGTGTTTTAACATTCATGTGTTACTTTCTAAAGTTAAAAGATTATAATTTAACATTTTTATCAAATCTCTGACTTTTATAAATCAAGTTTTACCTTACTGTATTCATTTTTGAAAACCATTAGATAAAAAATTCAAATATTTGTAGATTACCGTTTGTTGCGTTTCTTTTGCGTTTCAGTATACTTTCATAAAATAATTATTAATGTAAAAAGCAAAGCAGAAAAGGTTACAGGGTTTCAGGGCAATAAAATTTACACTATTTTTCATATTTTCTTCTGTGATATAAATTGCATGATGAAATATATTGTTGAAGGTTATATTTGTCAAACAAAGATTATATTTTTCAAACAAAGATACAATTTTCTATTCATACCGTACGTTTGTGACACGAGTTTTCTGAGAGTTTCTAGATACTTTTATGATTCAAAATATTTCAAATGAATATTTATGTTAATATTTCTTTATTCTTTAAAATAAAACCATATTTCTGAATATAAAACACTTTAAAAATGATGTTATACTTATTTGTGACAAGAAAATTTAAGATCAACACAATCTAACTGAAATTGGCGATTTACTTTGTTTCGTATTGTTATAAATTGCATGTTTTCTTGTAACGCAATAAAAAGCAAATCTTGTTTATGTTCAAATACTATGATATGATATAATTTTTGTAGATAACACATTTTTTCCAAATTGAATTGAATACAGATCTTTTCTTTTTCTAAATCTTCAGGTAATCATGTCAGATGTGGTATTTGGATTTTTTGCCTGCATAGCATTTATTGTTATAGTGCTCTTTAATGTTGGAGCCTTCACACCAAACTGGCTAACTGTGCACGAAACACCAGTAAGCTTTTCCACGCCTTCGTTTAACTGTTCCACGCCTTCGGTCAACTGTTCCAACCCTTCAGTCAATATTTCCACGCCTTCAGTAAACTCTTCCGCGCCATCAAGAATATGCAATTATGGCTTGTTTCACAGTGTAAATTGTCCAAACAATGAGAATGGTGAGACCTTATTTGCTTTATTAATAAAAATAATAAATTAAAAAACGAATAACAATAATTAAGGTCTTCCGTCACAACGGAAGACCTTCTACTGATTCTGATGGTTAAGATTATTATTCTTTTTTTTTTCTTCTCCTTTCTAGACGCCAACTTTGAGGCCTCATATCTCGCTCATTTCTCAACGGATTTTGCTCAAATTTTCAGGGTTTATAGACGTTACAAAACTCTATCAGAATGCTGTCAAACATTTCCAAAATCCACTTCCGCTTTTGGGTTATCTCCCTTTAAATGAAAATTTCGGGGGTTTCGTTTCCAGACAAAGGCTCAGAGACTAAAAAAGCTGGAGCAGAAATACTACTGAATTTGAATAATAGAAATATTGAAGTTGTGCACATCTATTTTTGTTTTTTGATTTTTGCGTTCAAAATGGCGCTAGATAGGGGTCAAAATTTAGAACGCCTAAAAGCGCGAAAATTTACACGTATTTTCCTATGTATCTTTTAAACTAAAAATATTTTGTTAAGACATGTTGAATAAAAGTTGTGCACAATTTTAAGGTCTTACATTTGGCACTATCAAAAAGGGACTGGTCCCTAAAATTAGGGATCTAGGGTCCTTGAAAGTTTTCGTTTTATAACTCAAAAACAGTAAATATTTCGAGATAGCTGTCGCGTAGAAGTTGTTCCTTAACATATTATTGATCTCATGAACTTGTTATTTTGTTCGAGTCTTGTTTAATAAAAGAGTTAGAAGCTTGACCCATATACAGGTAACTAGTTTCATTAGACAAGTGAAGGTGAAATCTTTATGCGCATAACTGTAATAAACTTGCTATAAATGATAAACCTATCCAAAATAAATACTAATATTACTCTGTAATAAGTTTTTACGTGTTCTGTGGCTTCATTCCAAATTATTGAGTCACACAATTTCAATACGTCTCGGGATTTGTTTTTGTTTCTAATTACGTAACCGATCACGCATGACCTAGATCCAGTGATCAGTGGCCATACACTAAACAGGCAATGCCTTTCTAAATCTATTTCGCAAACTCAACGATGCACGGATAATTGTGTTATTTAATCATATAGGATCTTCAAATTATCTCATCTTATCTATGTTGGTCAAGTTGGTGATATACTTATTAAATTATTGTGGCGGAAATCACAAGAGATCCATTGCATATGAACCAGCGACCTGCGTTCGTAAACAAAACATCTTTTCGTAGTTTAATGTTGAAACATACACTATATTAAATTTTAAAAAAGTTAGCAAAAAATAAATCAGTCATTAACTGCATTTAACCGCATTTCACAAACATCCCGGGTTTTGTGTTTGTTTACAATTACGTAACCTTTCCCTCGATAGCATATGGCCGAGGAAGCAGCTATTAGTGCTCAAACACAAAACATTGTCGTTCTATATTCATTTTGCTAACACAATGATTTACGGAAAATTATTTTTTAAATCATATCGGATCATTCAATTAAATCATTTAATCTTATCTTAATTTGATTTGATTTAAATCCAAAACATTTTATTAAGGGCGTATAAAGGCCCCCGATTTCATGAATCCTAATCTTAAAACTTCATACATGTACAATTCATGTATATTTAATAAACGATTTATTTCTCAGTTATGTGTTATTGTGTGTTTAATTTCGGAGATTCATTGCGTGTGGTTAATTCTGCAGATAATTCTAACTTGACACACAAGGTTTGTAGACAAAGAATTCAAAAGAGATATATTTTGAAAACAATAAGACGCATTGCTTAACACTCTGACATATATTTTCATTGTAAAATGGCTATCTTTATGATTACACCAGCTCTGAACATGCTATGTGAAAAACTCTGTCGACTAAAGTTTTGTAACTCCAGCATATGGCAAGTACGTGTGCTTTTATTAAACACCCAATTTTCCATTAACGCCCACGAAATCTACCTAGCTTAAGATCGATAATATACCGCCCGTCAATCATACAAAAATAAAACAATAGCTGTTGATTTGATTGACAGGCCAGCAACCTGTGCTACCTGATAGTCTGAGTTTGCATGCTTTGAAAGCAATTACATGTACCTGGTCACGCGTCAAAGCTTTCATGTACCGCTTGAAAAATCGCGGTAAACTAGTTTTTTTATACACTCTGGTAAAAAAAAAACTTATAAATTGGTTGGTAATTATATTTCAAAAAATAATTGAGAGAAGAGAATTAAACTTTGAGTTCATTATTTTTATTTTCACTGCTGTTTTGTACACTGTTCTTGTACGCGATATGTCGTCCAAGATAATTGTACCGTAACAGCTCTCCGAAGAAGAAAAAAAAAACTGGCGGCTATTCGAGCCCCTTTTCGCCTTCAATGTCTACCTGTTTACAGAGAAGAGATCGTAATTTTTCAATAAAATATTTCATATTATAAATGTAATTTGATTTGTATGTATAAGTATCTGAAAGGCTATATTGTGCTGATTTTTTTAAAATACATGTTTTATGTTATACATATTTTTTAGCATACGATAAAATATCGGCAACACTATAAGCTTATTTATTTCTAATGTCCAGAACTGTGTAACGTAAATGTCATGCATTTAAGAACTATGTTAACTTTTTATAATTTATTTCCACCTGCAAGCGCGGTTCAAAAGAAAAATGTACAAGGAGTACATATACATGGACTTGAATATAACAAACATATTAGCACACATCTAATGATGAAAATGAAAATAATTGATAATAGACTTTTACAACTTCATTTCAATGATGAGTTACTCCAAAACTTTACTTCAAATGTCAGAAAGGCCAGTACAGTCAAACTACTCTTAATTGTCTCTGTTTTAATTACAATGTCAATCACAATAACTCTTTTCTTTAGATCCCTTCATTTCTAATTTGTACATAGTTACATGAAATTCGTGCACGGCGCTTTACCTGTCAAACAAAATTGTAAACTTCTGGTGACACTGCTTTAAAGACACAGTGCTTTATAGATACAGTGTAATATTTCGAAAAAACGTTTTAATTAAGGCTGAAGATGCATGCTGTGAATTTATGAAACCTGCAGTCCTAATTGACGATCCGTTCTTACATGTATATTATAATTAATCAAAAAGTCCAGTATTTGTGACAAGTTTTGATTGAGGTTTCACTTTCCCTTTAGAATAAAATGATTGATTAAATAGATTATGCACATGAGATGGATACCTGTACTACATATAAATGCATACTTTTCACTTTTTAACAAGAATCTGTTATTGACAATTAAAAGTGAAGAGTTTAGGTAAAAGACTTTGACAAATGACAAGTTATTCCTTCTTAGTCACTATATATTGCTTACAGCTATACGGTCGTGCCCCCCCCCCCCCCCCGCCAATTATATTTTAATTTTTTATTCATTTTTTTTCTTATATATCAAAAAATTTTGATTGTTCCTGCCCCATCCCAGAAAAAAATGAAATTACTTTCTACAGGCTTGAGTCAGTACAAGATTTTCATAATTATAGTACCTTTATCAAAATGTTTCTACCCCTACGATTTGGAGTCGCAGTTTCGAAAACCACCACGTCGCCCGCGTGGCGCAGTGGTTTGAGCGTTTGCTCTAGAGTCGTGGAGTAAGGAGTTAATCTTTACGTCGTGGATTCGACTCCCTCTGCGGGACGTGGAGACCGGTCCTTTGCATGAGACCGAATAAACCGAGATCCCCTGTAGCAGTAGATGCTGGCACGAAAAAGATCCCTCACTGCTCAATGGCCTTGAGTGTCGAGTATAGGTCTGAATTTGCAGCCTTCCACCGGCAAGTGGTGGCGTTTCCATATGAGTGAAAAATCTCGAGAAGGACGTTAAACAACACACAAACAAATAATTCCACTACAGAACGTGGAGTATGGTCCTTCGGATTAGACCGTATAAACGAGGTCCTGTGTAGCAGTAGGTTCTGGCATGAAAAAAGATCCCTCACTGCTCAAAGGCCGTAAGTGCCGAGTACAGGGCTAAATTTGCAGCCCTCCATTGGCAAATGCTGGCAGCTCAATGGACGTTAAACAACAAACAGACAATCAAACAAACATTTTTGTGTCGCCTGCAGAGCAAAGCAACACTTAGCGATCAATTTGCCTGGCGTCTGTCTGTCTGTCTTGCTGTCCGTCCGTCTGTCCGTCTGTCACACCTTATATCTCGAGAACTGTAAGAGGTATGGATTTGATAATTTGCACATATACCTTGACACTATGGCTTTTGTATTTTACCATGGCTTCCGACCGAGATATCCGTGAACTTGACCTTTGACCTACTTTTCAAAATAATCAATAATGCCGATATACAACTTCTTTTTGATATTTTTAAAAGAGGTAAGTCTATGCTATTTAGAATGTGTACTGTTTGTCATAAAACATTTTGAAAAATACCAGCGTTACAGTCCACTTGACCTTGGACCTATTTTGCAAAATATACTGCGGAGGGTTAAATTTAACTTAAGTCTTTTGAAATTAGAGAGGCAGGGGTTTGATAATTAATATTTATACATGTTTATGAGCTCATGACAATGCATTTTGACACTGTATGAAATAAAGAAACCACAAAAACTGAAATTTAAGTACTATGAAAATACAACGGGATCGGTATTCCAAAATGGATGGTGTAGACTGACAATTGCGGATATGATAGACTGAAGTCTCTTTTGAAGGATTGTTGAAATCACGTACTTAATTAATTTATAAATAAATTAATTATTTATAATAAATTTATTCAAATTTCATTAATATCCATTTTAGCTTTGAGGGATTAAGGATTTGTATTTTTATTTGATTGTTAGATTCTATCGCAGTCTTACTACCCCTGGATTTTTTTTTTGCATGAACTATATGCCATGCCGTAGCAAATAAATAGCTGATCACTTTTAGACTCAGTTACATCTTTAATGAAGCTAAAAGCAGGCGACACATGCGTTCCTTGGAACACTCTTAGATCTAGTTCTGTAAGAAATCGGCAAAGATAATTATGCAG